ATGTTTTATTTATTTATTTTATAGCACCACCACCACCACCAAAAAAAGAACCAGCTAGTAATTATCATTTGTTTATTTTCTTCATTTTTATTTCTTGAATCAAAAAGTGATGTTTTATTTATTTATTTTATAGCACCACCACCACCACCAAAAAAAGAACCAGCTAGTAATTATCATTTGTTTATTTTCTTCATTTTTATTTCTTGAATCAAAAAGTGATGTTTTATTTATTTATTTTATAGCACCACCACCACCACCAAAAAAAGAACCAGCTAGTAATTATCATTTGTTTATTCAGTTTTTTTGTTTTTATTTCTTGTATCAAAAATGATGTTACTACCACTGACCTGTCACTAGTACAGCTAGTCTAATTGTCACTGTTAGCACAGCAGTTGCTATTGATGGTCCAATTATTACTACAGTTGCTACTGATAGTTCAGTTGTTACTAGCTCAACTGGGATTAATGTTGGTCTGATTTTTTCTTTTTCTCTTTACAGGTCCTAGTTCTAGTTCTAGCTCTAGTGTTTCTAATACATCAACGACATCAGGTAATTCTTTCATATGATTATTTATAAAATTAATATATTCATATAATTAACATAATAATTTATATCAAATTAATTAGTTTCTACTATCATGTCATTTGCACCACCATTTTCATCTGGACATCTTGATCTGGAATTCACAATTTATAATTTATACAGTGTTGCTACATCATTATTTGTTATTACTGTAACAATGCTTTATTTAATTGTTGCTTAATTAAATAATAGTATTAATATTGGGGTGGGGGGTTTTCTCTTGGTAAAAAAAAAATTTATAGAATTAATGACTTGTAATTGTAATTGTAACAATATTATTTATTTATAGTATATTTTTAATCTTTTTATTTTTTGTAATTTAATATTAATAGTACATCAGTTGCATACAAGTAGACTTATTTATTATAGATGCATGTGTTTTTAATTTAATTCATAATCCTTTTGAGAAGGAATGTAGCTGATAAGTTTTGAAGAACAATATAATTTATTGGTTAACTTTTTAAATGGTATAAAAATTTTTTGTAAATGATTTAAAGGAAGAAAATTATTTTAAGTACAAAAAATTAAACACATATATACCATTGAAATTTTATTCACATTATTATTATTTATACCAAGGACAAAATGAACAAACTAACTCAAAAACATTGACAAGCTTTATTTTCATTGTTGAGTTCACAAGTCGAATTCAATCAATTAATATTGAACATTTATAAAAAAGACAACATCCAAGTAATTATATATTTGATTTCTAATCAATTTGTTTAAGATTCAGCCAGCATCTAGGTTGCAGAAAAACCAAATGTTTATGTTTATTTTATAGCAAAACTAGAAGCAACAAAAGACACTTGTAATTATTATTCCCTTCATCTTTTGTTTGATTTATTTATTTTATAGCAAAGCCAGAAGCACCAAAAGCACTTGTAATTATTATTTATTTATTTATTTCTTGAATCAAATAATGATATTTGATTTAATTATTACAAAGTTGTGTGTTTGAAAGTCCCCATTTTAACTAGTGAATCCAAGATGCTCAAATACTTCTTATTGCAGTGTTGTGCATTGGAGGCTTCCAATGACATTTCATTGGAATTGGAAGTTCCATTGGAACATTTTGGAAGTTTTTGAAGTCCAATATTTTATATTCATTGGAGACTTCCACTCACCATTGGAATTGAACTTTAGAACATTCCACTCATCTATTTTCTTGCCAAGCCAATAATAATAATAACCCATAACTCATTTAAACTGATTGGATAAACTATGGCTTTCTGAATTTGGGTAAAAATAACATCCCCCAATTCTTAAAGCATCATCATCAATTTATCACATGATTAATTTTTTGATTGAACAATAGCATTGATGATGTATAGCCTCTCAACATTTGGAAGATTGGAAGTTCTAATCCCTTCGAATGGCAACATCACTGTCTTGACATTATAAACAAATGTTGCCAATGTTTAAATGGTGGTAATTATTATTATGTTATTTGAAATCTAAACCGCTAATTATTCACGTGACCAACTCGCGGATCTTTTACAAATATGGATTATTAGAGTAGCAAGATCGGCATGAAATTTTGGTGCAGCACGTGATGTCTTTAGACGATTCGCATTGTATATTAATATTAATATGGAAATTAATGTGTGTTCAATTATGTTTGTATTCATATGATATTTTTTTATATTGTGCATAAATCATGCAATAACATAAAACTTTATTTTAAGAATTGAAATCATATTTAATTTCTTTGATTGATAAATTCTGATGATCATTATCCAAAAGAGAATTAATTACAGTGTAATGTGCAATGAAAATAATGGCAGTTTATGATATGTACAAATTGATTTGTGTAGAAAATAATAAAATGTTTGTTTACATTCTATCAAACATATGAATAAAAAAATATATTGTTATTTTCACTTTGGCTTCTAAAAACATGATTAATACAAAGCTTGAAACTCAATGTAAAACCATTTTCATTTCTGGCTCAATGGTATCTGTCTGGCCAAAGAAATACATCAAAGGATGAACATTCCCCTTCATACTATTGAACATAATCTTCAAAAGTTTAGGAAACAGGTACCATTGAATGCTATACAAAGTCTTTCACATTCCTTGGGTCAACATGTTCATCATAATCTGCCTTAACAATCAATCAGCTTTCTCTATTAGTCAAGAAAAAGCATTATATATCAATTTCTCATGCTTCTATTTGGAGACATATGAAAAAAGGGGTACAAGAGCTCTATACCTATTGGAACTCCAATGCTGACAAGTTGACACATTGAAACATGAAAAACATTGGCACAAGCCCATAACAATATTCACAGATGAAACAGCTTTTAATCTTTTTAGAAGCAAAGTTAGTAGATGGCACAAAGATGGAAATAGACCATTCTGACATTTGCCAAAAAGTACATCAAAAGGTAATGGCATGAGGTGGAATCTCATTAAAAGGTAGAACATCATTATTTTGTTCTACAAAACATCATGGATGGCCCTTATTATGTGAATATTTTGCAGACACAGCTTCTACCTGTTGCAAAAAACTTATGTAGTAGAGGCTGGTATTTGCAACAAGACAATGATCTTAAGCACATTTCACATATTACAAAGGAATTCTTTATCCAAAATGAAATTCAGGTCATGGAGTGGCCATCCAATAGTTCTGACTTAAATCCCTATTGAAAATGTGTGGAGTATACATACATACAGTAGAAATAGGTTGATCACTTGACTCAATCAGGTGACTTTTTGACACAATTAATTGAGTCATATGAAAAACATATAAATAATTGAGTCAGACACAATTAAAATTTGAGATTTCAGGAATTGAGTCAAAGCCAAATTAATCTTGACAACATGTACTGTATAGTGTGGAGGATCATAAAAAATAATGTTGAAAAGGCACATGCTACAAAATTATTGATGCATTAAAAAAAATTTATGATTGAGGAATGGGGAAAAATCCCTTCCAAAATTTAATTAATTCTATGAAAAATAGATGTGAACCAATTTTAGAAAATAATAGTGACAGGATTGGACATTAAATTTTTTTTATTTAATAAAGTATATTATGAACTTTTTAATAAATCAACTTCAGTTAATTATCTTTTGTTGAGATTTGGAATTTTTTGTCACTATTATTTTCATTACACACTGTATACATAGAAAATTTTATCTACACTACAACTTTATATAAGTGGCCAAATATAATCCAATGCAACTTTTGATGTAATTGTTGTGAGATACTTAACCAATATTGATTTAAATCAAGATCACCTGAAGATGGATTGTATTCAAGACCACCATTCTGTAATCAATTCATTGCTTGGGATTTTGTAATTCTGTTATTACACTATATTTTCTTTTCTTATCATATTTGTTGTAAGAAGGAAAGAAGGATTAAATTATTAATTTCATTTTCTAAATAACTTTTCATAATTCTTAAATTTGCCTTTTTTTATACAAACTCTTTAATTTATCAATTTCATCCAGGCATGTTATTAATCTTTGATTATTTGAATAACTTACTATTATTATCATTAATCATTAATTAAAGGTCATAAGTTTTTTTTGGTCAATATTTTTTTTATTTAGTGTTGATCATCAACTATGCAATATTATGCGGTGACCTTGTTTGATTATGCAATTTTTTCATTTTTTTATTTGCATATTATTGAAGTTTTTATTATTAATAATCAAAGAACAAAATGAACAAATCAAACCCAAAAATATTGATGGCGCTTATGATACTCATAATAAGTCTTATTTTCATCCTTCAGTTTACAAGCCCAATTCAACCAACTAATGTTGAACACTTACAAAAAAGACTGCTACAACCAGATCCAAATGGTAATTATCATTTGTTTATTTTCTTGATTTTTTACAATCAGATCCAAATGGTAATTATCATTGATTTATTTTCTTGATTTTTTATTTCTTGGATCAAAAAACGATGCTATTACTATTGACATGTCAGCCATTAATAAAACTAGTCAATTGTCAATGTTATAACAGTTGCTATTGATAATTCATCATAAAATTAATTATACAATTAATATATTTATATTAATATAATTAATCTATATGAAATTAATTAGCTTCTACTAGTAAAACTACCGAGTACTCGCCTGGGAAAGAACCATGTACAGATGCTAATGATCCAAGATGTAGCCGTGGACAAACAGAGTAAGCCTCAAACTTGTAATTTCTATTTTTTTTGATTTTCCAACAAATTAATTAAATTAATCAACTTATTGCAAAAAAAAAATAGTCCAACAATAGTCAGTACAACAACAGAAGAAAATGAAAAGATTACAATACATAAAATCTACACTACCACTTTAACATTATTTTTCCCAGGGTACACCACTTATGCATCTTCAACAGGGACCAACGGAGAATTAACAACATTTGCAACTTATGTCCCACCAAGTACTCTTGTAATTGTCAAGAAAGTTGAATCAGTTGAGGCACCAATATTAACACAAGAAACTCGGGATTCATCTGGAGATATGGAACTCTCAATTTATAATTTATACAGTATTGCTACGTCATTATTTGTTATTACTGTAACAGTGCTTTATTTAATTATTGCTTATTAAATAATAGTATTAATAATACACGGTGCAGTGAATCTCGATTTAGCAGCAACTTTCCAAAAATCCGTTAAACCGAGATATCCGCTATATCGAGAGTTTTTATTAAGGTTATGGAACCGTTCTTTGAACTTTATCCGTAAAACCGAGATTTTTAATTAGTATCCGCTAAATCGAGATTCACTGTGTAGGAGGTTGTAATTGTAATAATATTATTTATTTATAATGTATTTTTGATTTTTGATCTTTTGATTTTTTGTAATTTTAATATTAATAGCACATCTATCAGTTGCAAGTAGACTTATTTGTGTGTGTGTTTTTAAATAATTATAACATTTACAATGTAAAATATTGGAAGATCTTGGATTATAACATAACATATAAATTTTTGAGGAATATTGCTATGTAGGCTTTAGGACAATTATTAAAGAAATTTATACATCGAATTGTTTTTTCAAAATAATCAAAATCCCTTTTATTTCTGGAAGTATGTAAGTTTATATACATAATCTCCAGAACTTTCGTTACAAACTGTATAATTTTTTGTATGATTTCTATTATTAAAAAATTGCATGTTAAAATTTTGGAGACAAAAATTTAGCAAAGTTTTAAAAAAAAAAACAATAAAGCTTATTGGTTAACTTTTTATGATATTAAATATAAAATTTTTTTTAGGTTAAGCAATTAATTGATTTGCAGCGTGGTGAAGTAATGATGATGTAAATTTTTATTATTAACTAATCTTTTATTATTATAGTGATGAATAATAATAAATAATGATATATAAAAAGAAGATTTTTTAATTCTCTCTCAAATTATTTTCACTACGATTTCAAACAAAAATAAATAAATAAATAAATCTATTCGAAATGGAATCGAAAATGAATGTTCCAATTTCAGAAAATAAAACCGCTGAAATTAGACAGCCAGATTCAAATGAATCGAAGACTGAAAAAATTAGTGCCCCTTTAACCACCTTGAGTAGTCATTCTGATCCCTATCCGCATTATTTCATGACTCTTGCCAGTATGTAATATTTGTAAAAATTCAATTATAATGGATTTGTTTATTGAGCGTAATAATTTATAATTTTGTTATTTTTATTACTAATTTAGCTACACTCGGATCCAGATATGCTTATCAATATTTGAGGCAACCTAGAACGGCAGCTGTGGCTGGTGTAATAGCCGCTGTTTATGCAATTGGAGGGTAAATTTTTAAAAAATATCTCTTTTTTTGCAATTTTTGCAAAATGTATCATAATTATTTGTCGTTAATCGATTGATTGATCAATTGATTGTAGATATAATATTCAAAACGATAACGAAAAAACAGGTTACACGCTTGGAACATGTAATTATTATTATTATTATTTTGGGATTTTCGCTTAATTTAATCATAATAATTAATCACATTATCTTTTTTTTCCAAAAACAAAAAATCAATCAATTAATTAGTGGCATCATTTGGGTTACTTGCTACCTCTGGACCACAAGCTAGAGCGACAAAAGATGTTTATCATGTTGCATTAGCAAGTTTGGGAGCTATTAGTGCAGTTAGTAACTCATTGAAAGTTTATCAATTACGAACTGGTAAACCAAAAGATCTTGATGTAAGAAGTAAAGCAACAAATTAAAAAATTTACATTTAGAATTTTAATAATTAAAAAAATCTTATTACAAATGTAATTAATAAAATATTATATTATGTGTATACGAATGAATATTTTTAATTAATAAATTTGCATTTACCCCAAGAAGTAATCGATTAATGTTAAATCTAGTACTAGAACCAAATCTCATCCAAACAATAAGGGTTATAATGTAACACCCCATCAATATAATAATAACAAGGATAAGGTTCATCTATCCACCACAAATCATCAATACCTATAAGGTCATCATCATATCCTATTAAGTCGTCATATCCGTCATCATATCCATAGTCAAAGTCATCGTAACCAAAAATATCGTCGTCATAAAGTCCACCCATATCGAAATCATCCAATAATAGACGTTTTTCAAGATTTGTTGATAATGTTGTTGGTGGCGAAATTGATGATGGTTTGGGTTGTGGAAGTGGAATGGATTTTGTAGAAGTCGAAAATAATAATAATAATAATAATAATATTCTAGTTATTAAATAATATGATCGCAATGATTTTAATGAAAAGGGCGACGATAAAAATGAAAATGATGACGAAGAATTAAAATGCTTCATATTATTAATTATTAGTTATTAATTAATTATTAGTTATTAATTATTAATTATTTACTGACGATGGAATATTAGTTTTAACTTTTTTAGTTTGTTTATATATAATCTTTTATATTAATTAGTAATTTAATTTTAATTTATTTATTTTACAAATTTATCAGCTTGATTAATTATTTCGAGAAAATTGATCAATTTATTTTGGAAGGAGAAATATTTCATTTTTTTTAATATATTAATATTATTATATTGTAATTGATAAAGGTAAAAATTAATTTGATTAAATTTTAAAAAGCTTGATATATTATGGCATCTAGTATATTATAACATCTAGTAAAAATTCATCTTTATTGTCTCTCTTGATTATAATTAATCTTCAAATTATTTCAAAAATGACAAAATCTAAAACCACCAACACCACTATTAAGCCTAAACCTGCTAGTAAAACCAAAACCAATAGTGACAATACTACTTCTAAGCCAAGACATAAACGTAAAAACAAAAATTCTGATTCTACCGCCATCACTGCTGCCACTGCTAATAATCACAATGTTACTTCTAGTAATGAAAGCGATAACAATTATAAATTATCAGAAGAATCAAACATTACGTGTAATTCAGTTGAAATGATGGAATCATCTTTAAATTATGATTGTGATGGTAATATTATCGCTTCTTCTTTGGATGTTGATAACAATGATGAGGATGGAGAAAGAGTTGTAATAGTTACCACTGAAAAAGGTAAAAAATATGGGTAAATAGATTATTTATATTTATTATTTATAATTATTAATTCCTTATTGTTATTAGTTATTAAGAAGGGAAAATGGACACCACTACAGAGAAAACGATTGCTTGAATCAATTATAGATAGCTACTTGAAAAATGTGAATTGGGACGATGTCGCAGATCAAGTCAAAGAGAAAACTGCTAGAATGTGCTATGATCAATGGAAAAAGGTTCTTGTACCTAGCATAAAAAAATATGTCGAAGAAAAAGAAAAAGTTACTACTGAACAGCAACAATAGACTATGTGGGAATGTATGATAAAAATTATCATCATAATTTTATTATTGTTAATAAATAAATGAAATTTCACATATAGAACTTCATGTCTTAAAAAAACCATAATTTTATATACTTGAATTCTTTTAAAATCAGATTCTGATTCAATATTATATCTTTACATTAGTTCATCTGTAATGTTTTCTTTAGGTATAAATACATTATAATTCTTGTGATCTGCTTTATTGTCATCTTCAATATCATATTTTTTCTACAATTCTGTTAATATGCTTTTTACATATACAAAAGATGGACGAGTTTTTCGTTCATGTTGCCAAGCTATATCATACATTGTATATTGTATTATATATAAATTATATGTGAATTATGAATAAATGAATACAAATACACTCAAATTATACCTTTTTTGATAATTTCAATTAATACATATTGAATTTCTCTGTCTTTTACCCCAATCTTTAAAACTTCTCGTTTACCAGACAACACATAATCATTAATATCATTCACTTTAAAATCTTTATATGGTATTTTTTGATAAACAAGCTCCCAAAGTAACATCCCATAACTAAATAAATATTCTTAGTGTTAGGTAAATTTCTATTAATTATACTTGTTATATTGAAACGTTTATTTATTTACCTAAACATTTCAGAACAAAAATCATACACTATGCCTTTTGCTTTTAATTTCTCTGGTGCCATCCAAGGAACAAACTTATCCAAAAGTTGTTAATCTATGACCCATATATACCTCTTGTACTTCTTTATCAAAATTGGCCACCTTTGCATCTCCCATTCCATCAATCTATAATTATTAAACATATCATTATTAAATTTATATATATCCTTTTCTCCCCATCTATTAATAATCACTTACTAAAAGATTTTCACATTAACAGAATGATGCAATATGTTGACACTTTGTAAGTATGAAAGCCCTCTGACAACATCATATGCAATCCTTAGTTTAGTCACCCAATTAATACAATTTTAGTAAACCTCCCTTTTCAGCCCATTCATATACAAAATTATAATAACTTTCCACTTTATAATATCCATAAAATTTCAATACATATCTGTACTGTATTGTTTTTATTAATGTTAATAAATATAAAAATTATCTTCAGGAATCTTGTTCTAAAAACTCAAATAAAGTTTTCTACAAGCTACTTCCTGATTAATTGTAGTTGTTTTTGTGATTGCAGTTGTTGCGGCTGCTTCTGCTGTTGAATTGGGATCAAGACTTGGATTGGAATCAGGACAAGAGTTTTATTTTGATCTAGCTTTTGATCTTGATCTTGACTTGTAATTTTCATTTTGTATATTTTTTTTGCAATCACTTTGCTCCTTTCATCGTTTGTAATTGGCGAATCTTGTATATGATCTTTATTTATTTTTAGCAGAATTCTTAGTAGTGCTTGGACTTCTGAATTCCTATTTTCAGATGGTTCCTGTAGTGATTGATTCCGATTTCTAGATTCCTGTAGTGTTTTCACTAATATCAATCTACTTGTATCAATTATATCACCATTCTGTAAAATTTTTCCAGGGAGAAAAAAAAAATAGTTTTCTAGAAACATAAAATGAATGCACAAAAATCTACACACACATATACGCACAATTAATTACCTTCTGAAAATCCATACATAATGTCCATATTTCATTGAAATGATTATCAAGTGACTCTTTATTTCCTTTAATTTGTTGAAATATAAGATTCATCATGTTGTTAAATTGTAATCTTTTACAAACCAATTCTAAATCATCAACAATATTATAAAAACTTTTCTTAATATGCTCAAGATCATAAAAATTCCTAATAATTCCATAACCTGAAATTTTATAAATGAATTTTTCAATACTATTTAACACAATCTCAAATCTATTAAATGATTGGTAGAATGTTGCTTGCTTAAAATTCTAAATTCTTTTCCTTAATTCTTGTCAAATGTTTTATATTAAAATGCATAAAGTCAACAAAAATTCCGCAAAATTTTATATTTTTATCTTGAAAATTGTCATAATATTCTAATATGCGTTCACATTTATTACATACTTTTTTAATAATTGATGTATATATATGGACCAAATATATCACCTTCCAAAATAACGAAATTATTTAAATAACCCATTTTTTCATCCATTTGGATTTTTTTTTTTTCAGAAAAGAAAATTTTATCGAGTTGAACATTTTTTAAATCTGGATTTGTTATACAACAATCAGTCAAACCTCCTCTCGTTTCAACGAATTATCACGCTACAAAATTCATTGAAACGCGATTAGTAATTTTGGTATAACGAATTTTAAATGCATATAGATTCGTTGAAATGAGGTCTGAGTGTACCGATAATACAATGCCCAAATTGTCAAATTATCAAAAATTACGTGTATTATCATGACAAGGTAGTAATGGTAGTAATAGTAAAAACAACTTTTGCGGAAAAAAGTAAAGAAAAGTCTTAATTCCTTTCTTTATTAAATAAATTAATCAATCTGAATGTTTGTTGGAAATTATTCTTGTTACATGAATTCACCAACAAACAAATATTGTTTTTTTTTATCACCAAAATTTCCACCAATTGTTTTTATTACTCCAAATAATTTCTCTAATTCTTTGATTTTTATCAGTTTCCTCTAATTTCTGATCAACTTTTTTCAGTATCTGATTGAAGTTTGGCGATTTGATTATCTCTTCAAAAATAACATAACTAATCTGAGAGTCTGGTTTTATTTTATTGTCCTGATCAACCATTATTATTCCATCATGATCTAATTTTTTCAAATATCTTGAATTACCAATTATTAATCTTGCATCAACCATTGATATGGCTTTTGTTGGTGAATGAACTAGTTCTCGAATCAATTTCCAAGCTGCTACTGCATATCGTTGTGATTCAACTTCCAATCCATTAAAGTTTGGAATTAAGCCAATCAAATTTATCAACCAAGTTTTCTGTTCTTCCTTTAATTTATTTGCAGCCTCTACATGGATATATTTTTTGTGGAGAAAATTAATAGTTATAATTAATAATTAATAATAATCTCACAACAGAAAAGAATATATTACCAAATAAATCTATATTAGTTTCTTTAGCCAATTTATTTAAATATAATATTCTGCCACCGATGCATTCACTCACAATCTTCTCCAATACTTCATCAGATTCACATCCATTTATTTTATCTTTTCTTTTATCTTTCAGGAATTCAATTGCCTCATCCTTGCTCAAATCACGTACTCTAACAACTTCCATATGCGAAGCACTCGTTCCTACACATATAATATATAATTAATTAGAATTGGAGGAAATAGTTATCTTCCATTAAACAATTAATTAAAAAAGAAATATATATTTACTTACTCATTCTTTCATAGACCCAATAATCATCAGTATTAAAAATCATTGTGACAACATTACATGAAGCCCATGTTTCAGCTCTTTGTTGCAACAGTTCTAACATATCTTCACCATCTTCATCATCTTTTAATGCATGAATATCATTGATTATGAGCACAAGTGGTTTATTATACTTTCCTTTATATTTGTATGCCACCCCCTCAACCACATTCAATGCCTTCTCAATATCCAACAATGCTGATCCTAAATTTTTTGGTTTGCAAATACAGGTTATGAAATATATTTTAGAACACCATCCAATCAGAATTTTCAAACAAATTAAATAATTAATAACCTCGTTCTGGAGCTTCTCTAGCAAACAATCCACCAATGTAATCTTCTCTAAAAGTATAATTCAATGATCTACCCAATCGTGTTTTAAATATTTCTGTGTTGGAATGAGCTTCACAAATAACCACACCAAACTGATTGCATTTCTCCATCGCTTGAAATACCATTTGTGATTTTCCTGTCCCATTTTCCCCCACCAACAAATAATACATTCCTTTTGTATTACCTTCTATTGCCTGAAACAAATTCTTGTATTCATCTTTCTCTAGATAAATCGTTTCTGGTTTTAGTGAAGGTAGCGAACTGGTGAATGCTTTTAATACTTTATGACTTACATGCCACTCATACCTACAAAAATATAATATGAATTGATAGATTGATAATTAATCAGATCAATAATTATGATAATGTCACCAAGATTAATAATATTAAACAATTTAATACCATGATTGATATAAGACACCACCTAGAAAAATGGCAGCCAGTCCAAATATAGTACTGAATACTGCATCTTTCACACGTGGGGAAAATAAATCATCAATAGAAATTCTAGGATTACGATCATTATGTCTAATGCTTCTACTATTACCACCACCACCACCACTAATACTACTTCCACTTATTCCTCCAGGACTACCTCCGGAAGTATTTTTAGTACTACTGCTTTCGAGACTTTGATTAATGTTGTTAAGATCGTCATGGGATTTTTGATTTGTTGAAATTTTCTTGATTAATTTATTGTTATGAAGATGATGTTGTTGTTGCTGCGATTGTGGGTCATCTAGAAAATAAAGACAAAAATAAAAAATATATTAATCAGGAATTACAAATCAACAAATAGTATTTTTATATTACCTATATTACCTGAATAAGAATCTAAAACTTCATGAATGTCAAAATTTTTATCTTGGGAATAACCAGACGGCAAGAAGAAAAAAGATTTTTTATTCAAAAATTTATTATTGTTAAATAATTGGGAAGAAGATTTTAATTTTTTATTAATATTAATGAAAATTAAATTATTATTGTTTCCAACCAAATTGGATGATTTTGTATCACTTTTAATAAAAATAATTGGAATTAATGATGATGGTGATGGTGATGGCGATAATAATGATGAAAATGAAAACTCTTTAATAATAATTGAAGTTTTATTATTACAATATCTAAACATTTTGATTATTAATTGATTAGTTGATTCCAAATCTTGAGAAGGGTGTATAATTAAAACATTATATATACGATCATTGTCATTATAATGACTATATATGACACGAATCAATATTAATATGCATTTTTATTTATAGGTTAAATAGAAGGCGCGCGCACGCGTGTATAGTATTGTCAGAATGGTTAATTTTCTGCGTCAAATCATATTATCGAATGCTCCAATTTTGGACAAAGAAAGAAAGTAAATTTTGAAAATCATTTCCAATTCCTAAGGCACCGACCGGTCGAATCGTTCGGAGTTTTTAAATTGCCAAGTAATGTTAGAGTTATCAACCATTTTAATACATAACGAAAAATATACAGTGTGTAACAAAAATAATTTATCATCTTATAAAAGCTAACGAATAACTTTAATGATAGAAGTGCATACTGCGCCACGTTTTCTGAAATCCAGGGTTGCTAAGTAGCAAAGTCAAAAACTTGTAAAGAAAACAATAATAAAAAATATGTCAAAATAATGGTTGAGATTTTTTGCATCATATTATTTAATATTCTGTGTAATATTTATTATGTGTGCTGGTAGAAAAAATTTGGAAGTTGGTCAATTGTAACCATTTGATAGTGATGATCCCCCACAATTTACTATAATTAATTTTCAGAATTTTATCTACTTCTATCACGTATCACGAATTAAGCCAAAAGACCAGCTTAACAAACTCTCCTTTTAAAAAATGTCCTTTTAGTTATGAGTTGAATTTATTATTATTTGACCAACAAAATTTTTTTGGTGATTGCACAGATTGTTTTTAATGAACCGAAAATCAACCTTATATTCATAAAGGATCGATATCAAATGAAAACAAAACTTCTAATTTCATGCAACTATTTTTGAGAAGCAAACAATTAAAATTTTTACTCGTGGGCCAATTATTAATATGCCATTTTAGTGATGTTAGCCGATAGAAAAACCTTAGCCGGCTAAGGACTTAAATAAATCCCAGTTGATGAAAAACTTTTCAGATGGTACTAAGCTTGCTGATATTATTATCACTACTACTATCGTTATTATTACTATTACTATTATTACTTTTTATTATGACATCTCGCCTTTAATGGTTCGATTCCAATTATTTGTTTTATTCGTTATGAATTTGAGTGCTCGAATTACATTGAAAGTTTATTCGAATAGAACGAATATAATAATTCGAATTAAAATAAGAATTTGTATTACGAATAGAGATTCTAATTATGATGTATGCCACTGAATCCTGAACTAAAATTCCATACGTAAAATGAATGTTAAGAGAAATTTTTTTTAGCCGATTAACATCACTATTTACTATATATTACTACTATTACTATGCTATCCATTTTGAAATTCGAAGCTTAAAGGCTTCGTGTAACATTTCAATCAAACTTGCTAATATTATTGTTTTTCTATAGTTGGCTTGGTCTAAAGACCTCCTAAATTTTGGGCAAATTTTAAAAGTATAGAAGTCACTTTCTGTCCTACATTTTGAAAAAATAGCTCTATTAGTTGATAGAATATGTCTTTAGTTTTAATGTAATAGAGAGATTTTCTCAAAAAAATTGTTTGTTGTAGAGTTCTATTCTTTTTTAAAATATGTACTTTAATATGCTCGCGAGGGATTTGTCCGCTAGGATCATTTCTAAATTTAGGAAATTATTACCAAATTTAGACTAGCCCTTGACTATCGTATCTAAATTTGGCAGTAAGAAAACTAAAATCACGTGAAGTCCTATTTTTTGAAAAATTTTATTATTATTATATTAATATTAATATACATTGTTGAACGAATTACAAAATTGCTTTTTGAAATTTGGCCGCATGACGCAGCAATAGGAGGTCTTTAGACCGAGCCAATCATAGAAAAAGCAATTGATGTAGATAATCTTATGATAAAAATCCTCATTAAGCATATCTTTAAATCTAATTAAATATCATTATTAGTGATTTCTGTATGCAAGGATTATCTAATTCAACAAAATAGAGTTTCCGATTTCATTTGACTGAAATAATTTTTTACAAATTTTATTTAAACTTAAATTTTTTAATTCATTGGATTTTCATTGTAGAATTTTTTTTATATAATATTAATAAGTATTGACTCAAGACCAAGTTTATCAGTTGTAATCAATAGATTCAACATATCAATTCCAGCATAGTTTTTTAACTATGTTTTTTCCGTTTTACAACTACATAGGTAAACTCAATAAGTTGGACTGGCTTATCGAATAAATATCCATGCAAGTTTGCATTGAAGGAGCTGCTGTTTTCTATCAATTTCCATTTAATTTTAAACCTCTCAATCTCGAAACAAATATAACCGTTAACTGTTATTTTTATATCATAATGAGACAATAAAATATAAATGTATTGTTATGATGATGCATACAAGAATGTTTTTAAATAAAATAAAACATTCACAAAGATAGTGTCACCAATTATATAAATTTGTGATGATGTGGATAATTGTTAACTTATTTCTAAGTTAATTACTTCTTACAAGTTATCGAATTTGATCTGTTTATATACAATTGATTCAATCGTAAATACTTTTATTGCAATATTGTGTTTCCCACATATTATTGTGCGAACATGGTATTATATACTAGAGGCCTGCACGTGTCATCATAATTGAGTGATTACCCAACCCGAACCCGTATAAATTTATAATTTGCAACCCGGACCCGACTTGTACATAAAAATTATAAAAATCTCAATCCGAACCCAACTTGTACAACTCTGTTTTTATTATACAACGATGTAACACAATTTTATTAAAAAAATGTTTACAAGAATACTATCAATTGTTTTGGTATTTAAAGTTGAGCGAAGCTCATTAATTGTAAGTCCAGCCACACTAAACTCTCTTTTACTAGTTGCACTGTAATATGGGATTAAAAGATAATAGGCAGCAAGCCTTGAAAGTCTTGGATAAACATGTTAATGGTCTTTCCGCCATTCTAAAATATTAAAGTTATCATCTTTTTGTATTTTTGTTGATAAATACAAATCAACTCCATCTTCATCATTATCATCATAATATTTACTAAAATCATCTAACTCTACATTTGAAGTTGTTGATAATATTACTTGCATAGAATCATCATCATCATCATCGTTACTGTCAGCACCAGCACCATGTATATGTGTGTGTAATCTATGTTCATAAATAATATATATATTTAATGAGCGATTGATTCAAAAATATGCATAATATATATATATTATATCATTAAAAATTTTTATTTGCAATTGCCAATTTAATTTCTAAATATGCTATATTTTTTTTTAGAATTATTTAAATTCGGGTCATAATTGTTGTAAAACACGACTCGAAGTTTAATATTAAGGCCAAGTCCACGAACCCAAACTTGACTTTCGGGTTCGGGTGGATTGATTGGATGAATAATTAATATTAAATCATATGTTACTAAAAATAGTAAAGATAATCTCTCACACGAAACTGACTTATAGAGAAGAGTCTAAAATTTTGGTCGAGTTAGACCAAAGCTGACTTATCAAGTTTACCTGTCTGCGTATATAAAAATCTTTTATAAATAAATAATTAATAAATAAATAAACATTAAAATATTGATATTGGCTTTCATAATAATGTAATATCCATTTTCTTTTGTTGCATCAAACAAATACCTTTTAAAATATGAACAACAAACGAATTTTAGGACCAACTCTTCAACATTTAACAAATATTTTTACATCAAAGTTTTCTCATGAGCTTCAATAATATCAAACAATTTTTTTTGGTTTCTTGAGAATTAATGGTTCGCCATTCCATGATTTAATTACTTATTAGACTTGTATATTGGTGATGGTATCATTCACACTATAAAAAACATAAAGGCGACTTTTATTTAAAGGTAACTGGAACAATTGATTCGGATTACGCCTTGAATTAGTTGTAATTGGTAATTAATGAGTAAATTTTCTAATAATTCAATAGTTGTTAATATTCTAGAGATTTTATTTCTTGAAAAGTTTATATAAAGTGTCACCCACACCCGAATACTAATAGTTACTAAAATAAATTACAAAAATTACAAATTATAAATTATAAATTATAAATTACAGATTAAATTTAAACTTTTTCCAGAAAAAAATAGCATTTTATCTGATAATTAATGGTGATTTTTATTAAGTAAACCAATGCTACCTGCAGTAGTCTTAGTGGATGAATTATAATCTGATAATTGATGGGTTTGTTGCAAATGATGTTGAAATTATTGGTAAATTATTATTATTATTATTATTATTATTATTATTATTATTATTATTATTATTATTAAGATTTTATGGCAGTAGTAATATTATTAGTCGAGGGAGACAAGCTCATATATTCTACTAATAAAATCACTCAATAATAATATTGAACTTGATACTAATGTTAAAAATGGTATGAATTCTAATTCATTTCTTCCATGTTTATAAATAATCTAAACAATGTTTTAAAAATAATGTTAATAGAAATTAATATTAATTCTTTCATACATAATATTTATATTTGCTTGCTACTTACTAAAATTACAAGTTGTGGTATATCTTCAATAAACATATTAATCAAACCACCAATAATGATTATTTTTAAAGCTTTTTGATTAAATTTAGCACTGAAAATTTCTTTATCTAAAAAATTTGAATTTAATATCCTCAAGGCCTCAATATTTAACATTGATAAAATTGTCATTGCAGAAGCAAAACCTGTATGACCATGTAACCAAGTTTTAAACTTCCGATTGTTTTTGTTGCGACTTTGGTTAATAATTACTGTCAATGCCAATAATAAATTGACTCCAGCTGGTAAAGCAAGTGCCACCAAACTAATATTTTATATATATAAATATTGTGAACATGTGGATGTGACTGTATGTGTATGTCAATAGGCATGTGAATAAATTTATTTATTTACCTTGGAATTAGTAAATATCTACCATCAGGTCTAAGTATATTATTTATTAAAAATGCAAGATCTAATATTAAATCTACTATAATCAATGTTGTTGTAAATATAATTGTATTTCTTCCCTAATTATATCAAACAAATCAATTAGATTAATCAATCATCATCTAGATAATCAAATATGATTAAACATTTGTGCACAAGCACACATGTACCTCCTTATGTTTCTTCCGAGCATAAAAATAAATAATCAACAATATAAAAAACACCGCTCCAACAACTATTAATGTTATTTTATTTTCTAAAAGCAATGTTGCTAACCAAATATAATAAAGTAAAAAATTTATTATTAGCATGGCTATTATAGATATTTACAAATATAATTATTAGAGAATTCTTACATGTCTCATTTAGCATATCTTTCATATAATTATTTGTTGTATCTGAAGCTGTATCATTTTTTAATGGTTCTCGTTTATTGAAAATGTTACTTTTTTGAAGATTCTTATCATCATTATTATATGATAAACACGTAGAAAATAATATTGAGAAATATGTAAATATTGAAATTATAAATTTTCTAGACAATGAATTATTTAATTTTACTAAATTGTTCATTTTTTATCAATTATTGTGATTTTTATATAAAATAAAGCAAAAAATAAAGAAAGTTTAACGTAAATTTCAAGTGAATAAATATATTTATTTAATATCTAATATAAACATTCAAATATTTTTGCTTTATTTCAATAAAGGAGGGTGAATAATTAATTGGCTTTGGGGAGGATTAACGGATGAAAGCGAGCATATTTTGGAAAATGATCCATAAAAAAAATTATATATATTGAAAAGATCGACCAAGGTTTTTTACTAAATTATTTTGCCATTTAGAATTTACTAAATTCGCGTTACATCAGTGCAGCGTTGTGCCCATTTATTTCAATATAATTTCAAATTGGAATTGAAACATTCTAAATGTGGTACCAATAAAGTTAACCAATGAAATTCAATTACAGTGTCATACACACGAATTTTATTGGTTAATATCAATTGAAGATCTCCAGTGCAGCAGTAACGAATGACGTCACACAAAAACACAATTTTCTTGGCATTTGACAAATAAAAGGAATTTTTTTTTTACTAATATAATGAATGATAATACCTTCTCTTTTAATAATTTAATTCGATCTATTTATTTATCTAAAATATTATCTACTCCGTCTTGACCATCAATTCATTACTATTATTCATTGTCTAGTAGAAATTGTAGTTGTTTTGTTATATAATATATACCAGTTAATTTCTTAAATATAAATATAAATAAATATAAATATGTTAATATGTTTATATAAAAAATTAAATACAACATATTAACATATAAATGAAAACGTAAAATAAAATTTCATACATATAATAACAATGCTCTTAACCGCTCATTATCATTAACATTACAGAGCAATATTTAATGCAGTAATTCTGACCTGCGTAGATCATAAAAACCTTCAAGCTTACATTTCTAATATAACCTTTCAATCAATATGGATTGGGTTAAATGGATCAAGTTTTAGCGAAACGAAAGAGAAGACAAAAAGGAGTGTAAAAAAAAATTTATTTTTTCCATTTGAAGTTAATTGAAATCTCATGTCTCACAAAAGATTGGCGTTCGTTTATGCTGTTTTTATTTTCATTGTTAATTCAAGATTTTGTTTTATTGATGAAACAGATAGAAGTATCTGAAACTATCTTTAACATTTTAGGTTGGCCTTTATGATTCTGTTATAATCATCACATTTTGCCAAGCTCCGATAGGTATTAGTTTCTTGGAGTTGAAAGCTAACTAACAATAAATAATAATTATAATCTTTTGAACTAAAGCTCCGAACGAGAACCAAGAAATATTAGACTCGAATAACTCGAGTTTGAGGTTACGTAAATTTTTAAATTAAGAGTCTATTTTCTTGAACTCAGCTCGAATTTGAAAATTCAAGTTTTAACTCGAACCTCTCGACTTAAAGTTACTGTTCGAATAAGGTTTGTCCGAATTAAGATTGAGCCGTATTATTATTACGAATAGAAACTTTAGCTCAACTTAACAATAATAATTCTCTGAGTATGGATGTACAGCCAAACCTCGTTGTGTTGCAACGAATTTTTAAAAACATAAAATTCGTTTAAACGTGATTGGTATTTATTTAAATGCAATTTTCTTGTGCGTCCCATAGATTCGTTCGAACGAGGTTTGATGTATGCATATACTTTGGAACCTAAAAATATTGTTAAATATGGAATCTAGGGGATGGACAGATCAGTACTATATGTATAATGCGTATATTTCTAGATGTGAAAATCATTTACACCTTTGTCCCAATGCCACAATTCAAACTAAAAAAAATTATTTTTGGAGAACATTTTGATACTTCAAATACTAGTATACAGATAAGTGGCAACGTAATTGAGAAATTAATGAAACGTATGAAAATGTTATGATATTTAATTTATTCAATATAATTAACAAGTAAAATTAGTTATGAACTGGTTTTTGATGCAAAGTAAGGATAATAAGTGGTGTTATTAGTTAATTAACGGTTGATTTAACTTGTTGTAAAAAACCAAACTTTTAGCTAGTTACCCAGGTCTTCGCACAGTCCTTGGCAAATTGTTAACACAATACTTGTCGGTAAAGTGTCCTGTCGGTAATAGTAATAGTAAAGTGTCTTGTCGGTAAAGTGGGTGTTGGTAAAGTGTCCGGGTCCGGATAAAATAACAAAGAACAATAATTAATTCAATTGTTGAAATTAAAAGCTCTTCTTAAAATGTAAAATAACAAAATCTATTCTTACTAAACAGTTCTCTTCGGTTGGAAAAGGATATTTATTTATTATTGCACGATAAATGCTTATCATGTGGAAAAAAGGTGATCATGCAGTATATATGATTTTCCGAATTAAAAAAAACACACTTTAATAATAATAGTTTTACACAAAAATTCTAAATGTAAATAATAATAAAAAATTCCGCATAATTATTTAAAAAAAACCACTTTACTAAATAATAACAAGCTCACAACTGAGAATGCAACGCGAGCTTTTGCTTTACGTGTTACAAATCATGCACACCATGCCACGCAAGAACAAAAATTCATTTATTTTAAGTTGGGTTTGAGATTGCATCTTCGTCGCAAAGAACAAAAAAATGACATCACTCAGGCAAAGACAGTAGTCTATTTATTAAATCCAAATAGGACAGCCGTCCCCGCATTTTTTTTTGAAAAATTTGAGTATTTCATGTAACAAAATCGGATATCATCATCCTCAAAAAATGATTATTCATTGTTGTTTTTGCTACTTGTTGCTATAATAATAACGCTTTCTCATAATCGATGGATCATTATACTGTATTAATTCATCATATTTAATTTAAATTTAAATTTACATCACGAAGTTCCTATGCCATTTTCATCACATCATAAATACTATTCCATCATGTTTCAACATTAGGCATCAATTGAAGGTGCTTTATATTAGATGCTTCACGATATTTTTTGAACTTCTTTCTTCTTTGTAGAGATGAATTTTTAACACTAGTATTATAAATAAAGAAGCAATAGATTAATTAATATCATTTATTTACCTTACATATAACACTTATTTACTTCTTCTAGAGCAAGACATTTAAAGCCTTTAATGCCTCTTGTGCTGCTGAATTGATTATACGAGCTAAGCATCTCACTCTCTGATTACACACGCATCAAATTTAAACCTTCACTTTCATAAAAATTTTTAAATAATGGATCCATATTCTTGGTATTATAAATCAACATCTTCAACAACATACATGAAATAATATTAATATTCTAGATCTGAGTGTACATGTTATAAGATTTTATATTATCATGCTGTATATGAAAAGAAATATTATAAACATCATTTAGAAAAAAGACCTAACTTTTTCTAATAAATTATAACCTTTCAATGTGACAAACAAACTATAGTCAAATTTCCTCCAATATGAGAAAGTAATTTTATTATAATGCCCAAGAGTTAGTGATCCAATGTGCAGTGATTAAAATGGCAACTATCGAAAAGAATTAAAAGAAAAATTGAGAAAAGATGAGGAGAAATTCGAGAGGTTGAATGATTGAGGGAGGGAAGAGCGGAAAGATACGAAAGCGAAAGAAGAAATAAGAGGGAGAAGAAACAAATGGGAGAGCAAGCGTAGTATTTGCAAAGGAATTTGTGAAAGAAAATGAATAAATTGCATACAAAAATTTATTCCATTTTATTAGATTTATTTGGCTTACTGTTTACAACCTTAGTCCTTTTTACATGATGATGATATAGGCTTTAAAAATAAACCTATTTTATATTTTAATGATCATTAAATATTGATAATTTGTTGTGTTTTGTAATATAATATTTAACCCGACAACGCTTCGTGAGAAGGAAAATTATAGCCAGGATTTAAATTGTGTATAAATTTTTTTATCCGTTATTGGAATCAATAATATTAAAACGAAATCATTACAAAATGTCATATTCCAAAAAACAATAATTATTAAAAGAAAAATATCATAGTGATATATTAATAATATTGATAGTAATAGTAGAAGTCTACTACCACCACACCATGACGAATGTCTGTAAGAAGAATAGCAATACAACAACTACAGCAGCAGTTACAACACCTTGAGACTGGGGAGAAAATAGGGGAGATTTCTAGAAAGCTGTCCGTGGCAGAAGATAAACTTCACTTGTAAAGAATATAAATATATTTTTTTATTTCCTTTATAATATGGTTTTTCTGCCCCACACAGCTAAATTTCAAAATATTGTCTAATTTAATTTGTTTTTGTCGTTTGCTTTTTTCCAAAAAAATAAAAAACATATGGCTCGTTTATTTATTTCAGTCGGGTTATTCGACTAATACTAAATTTTGAAAGTTATCATTATATCTTTCGAAATTTGTCTGAAGGTAATAGTGCTAATTACGACCCTGAACAAGATGATTAGAAGAATCGTGTCCAATATCTATTTAGAAAGACTTACATATATACATGATTTATCCATCGCGGTTCATCTAATAATAATACTAACAGAAATGTAACGTATTCACGGGTCCTCTGACACTCACTATTGAAACATGGGATTATGAATAATTCGAAGAAGTGTCATTCTCTCGGAAGTCAAATAACATAGGAATTTTACTAGAGATAACTGGAGATTTCAATATATATATATATATAATCCAAAGTGTGACAATTTTTTTTGTGAAAGATATATGCATTTGTAAGTATACTTTTTTTTTAATCTTTTATAGGTAGATAATTAAAGAAAAGAAAAATACAAAATGATATAGAATTCCGAACGAGTCGAATTTTCTGTTTTTCAATAAATCGTAGTCTCACGAATTGACCCGGGACAGTCGGAATTAGTACAAATTTAATTCATTTAAATAAAGGTCCGCTTAGATTTTTAACGAATGATATAACTGATATAGTAATAGTATATACATATTGCTAATTAAAAAAGTTTTTCTTTATCAGTTTTATTTCAATTTTAGTGGCAAAAGCAATTTTTTCTTTAGATAATAATAATAGTGTAGATGTAATGTATTTATTT